CCCACAGCTGGAAGGGCGAGAATGTGGGTGACAGTGATTATGTGGACTGTACTTCGAATTATTTTCCCCAGATAATTTAAAAGAACATGTCAAACAAAAGAGCAACGTTACAACAATATGTTATTATGAACCTTGGAACCAACGTAGTCATGTGCCCAAAAGCAATTTGGTGTGTAAATAGATTCTAAAAATATGTTTAAAAATCGTATGTGTTACGTGTACGGACTCCATCGTTAGTTCCAGAGTTAAATCAAAATCATTAAAAATATAATCTGATTTCTCTTAATTGGAGAACTCGCTAGTATTATTAGGTTTCATATGAATAAGGCTATTATAATGTATTATCATACGAGCTGTCAATTTTGAATCCTACTGATTATAAGAAACACTTAAAATCTATTGATGTGAAAAGCCCTCAAAATATTGGACAAGAAGAAAGGCGAATCTTTACAGATTTGTGCCTTTGTCTGAAAAGCACTTGAATATTTGGTAAACAAACCTTGGCGAAAACTTAAGGACTTGTTCAAGGGTTTGAATAAGCATTTGATTTTCCATCAAGCCACATAGTAGTTTGAAGGATTCTTATATTGTTTTAACTTTACTAAAATTTTTATCAAATAAATGGAGAGCTCAAAATTCGTATGAACAGTCAAAACCTTATTAAGCACCTAATATGTTCTTGTTAATATAATGAAATAATGTACTTAAGCAGAAATATAACTTTAGCTGAAAATACACTTGTACTCTACAACATTAAAATTATTGATTTTTTTTTACTGGAATATTGACCAACAATTGTTTGTTCAGTAGTCTGTTTGCCCCGAGTATGTTCAGATTCAGAATCAGAAGGTTCATGGTTCACGGACCGATGCAACAAACTTCTAATTTTGTGGCCATGGGTGTACTATAAGAGTGATGGTCAAATTCCACTCTTAGGTTGACAAGATTAAAACAGCTATTTGCAAATAATTCCTCGTTTAGGTGTGCGCGAAAATTTTAAAACAAACAAACAGAAAGTAACATATATATTGAACTTAATATATTTCCAATGAATTGTCGTGTATGGCAAATGGCATACACACAAGCTATTAGTTATCCTTTTAATCTACCATCGGGAGTGTCGTTTCTTGAAATTTAATGTTAATATTGATTTAACGAAACAGTTTCGTTGAATTTTGCGCCTTGAAATAAAACTTCTAAAGAGCTTTGGTATTTTAGTTTGAATGTGGGTGCATTACTTAGTTTAAGTGAAAATTACGTTCGTCTTTGTATAAATAATAAAAAAACGACTAAAAAAATTGTAAATGAGTGTGAAATTTTATAGTTATTTTATTCTTAAGCTAATGTCCATCGGTGGAACAGTTGTAAGTCTACAGACATACCACAATAATATCCGTGGCTTTGCTTCAAATCAATCAAACAATCAATCTGAAGTCAATTACGTAACATAACTGAAAGCCCAGCATATTTGAGGATACCACCTATTCACTAAATAAAGCTAACGAGTTATCTTTATTGAATTAATATCACTATTAAAATCCATGGAATATGAATACTTTCAAATTCAAAGTGGTTACGATTAGGATCTGATTGATTCGAATTATATAAAAAAGTCAACACTGATTAAAAAGAGTAATTAGCATCGAATTCGTCTCCATCATTTAATCAGTGTAACATCAAGTTCTCTGATGTTGTGTGACAGATTAAGACGCTAACGTACGCGATGTCTAAAGTGTTTCAGAATATTCTATGAAATTTAGGCCA